TTTTTTTTTTGGTTTTTCTCCGGTACCAGGAACCGAACTCACGACCTTGCGCTTGCCAGGCAGGCGCTTTGCCTCTGAGCTAAATCCCCAGCCCCTTCTTTAGAAAACTTAAAAGAAAATGTTAATATTTTTACCATGAAAATGTACTTCTGTTACTTGAAATTATAGAATCCTTCAAAAATGTGAGAAAGAGTAAATCTCTCAACTTGAAAATAGTTTTTAACATAAATGTTTAAAAAGCAAGGACCATCACGTATGAATCTAGAAGAAAAATGAGTTTATATAAACTGGTGTCCAGCTCATAGGTGATCATGAGTGTGGGATATGACAATGTCATTATCTGTCTTGTAATGCCAGGTATCCAGTTAACACTGGACTTGGAAGTCTCAAAAAAAACCATCTTTAGTTTATAGACGTTATTAACATATTTATATGGGAGGTTGCAATTTTTTGAAATTCATGTTACCTAGAAAAATTCAAGGAACAAGAATTTGAAGAGAAAAATTTCCATGATGTTCCATTGTTCTGGACATTCCAAAAATGGAACACTGTATGTAACTGGTTACACAGCGGTAATACCAGACGAAGGTTGCAGCTGATGCTGTGTGACCAGTTGTTCACTGGTCACACACACTCTTTAGCTAATAGATACAAAAGCCAAGAACAGCAAATACAAAACAGATGTTTAGCAAAGAGAAAGCATCAGAATAGCCATTGTGAGGTATGAGTTTCTAGTTCTTCTTCGCAATGAGATGAAACAAGAATAATTAGAATATAAGGGGACACATAAACAACTCTAATGCATTTTGAAGTGCTATGTATTTTTGGCTGTCAAAAAAAGTGTGTTTTATTCCAGGAAATAAAAAACAATCCTGTGCATTTAATCACTGAAGAAGATCTGAAACAAGTCTCCCTTTTAGAAAATGTTAACACAAATAAAAAGGATAGAAAAGATGAGCGCAGGAGGAAAGCAACAGGTAATGAATTATTAGTAGTAAAAAAATTCAGATGATTTTATTCATTGGCAATAAACTTTGCATTGACTAAGCCCTTTGAAAGACCTTTTATTTGATTGATTCTACTTTTAGTGGCCAATATCAACCAGATGTTTTGCTAATAATTAAGTTTAATCATCCAAATTGAAATACTACTGATTATATATTCCCTTTTCTTTTGTGGAACAGTTTAATTTCTGACTGTGTCCTCTCCTGTTGCCTGCTTCCCTTCTGTGTTCCAGTTCATTTCAGTACCCGCTTTGTTTTTCATTTTGGAGTCTCAGACTTGCCATATTTAGCTCAGCTCAAGGCCTTTGCACTACCCGTGCTCTTTACATCTGTGGACAGCAAGTAACTGTTTCCTTCATTTCATTCGGAGCTCAACATTCAGTGTCTCTTTCTCAGAGAACTTCCTAACTCCTCAGGAAAACAGCCGCGTTGCTCTCTGTCAGGATATCCTGCCAGTTTCTTTCAGCACTTTCACTTTAATAGAAATTTTCTTTCTAGAATATGATGAAATCTAAGATAATTCCACATAGAATATGGGAACCATCTTTAGTTTATAGACATCGCTTGAATTTCTTTGAAAAATTGTTAATGGAGAAATACGGTTTCAGTATTTTTCAGTGTTTATGATACACTTCAAATACTCTATTTGGTAGAATACATATTTTCAGTTTAAATATCTGGTGACGGGAGAAATAAAAGAGAGAATGAATGAGTTTGGCTAACCAAAAATCATACAGACCTACAAAAAAGAGATGACGTTGGAGAAGGAAGATACAGTATTTGAAGCAAGCAGGCTAAGAAGATTGCTTAAATTCAAGCAATTTCTTATTAATTTTTATGGATTGAATTTCTTACTTGTACTTAAGTGAGGGAGTGCTAGGCCTAAAAAGAGTCTCAGATTCTTTTTAATTGTTTTGCCTGTGTTTTTCTGCTGTAAATTTAATACAACAATATAGTATCATTTTCCAAAAATTGGATTTAATTTCATAATACTAACTACTGTCATTTTCCACCAGAGGGCAGTGGAAGTGTGAGAGGAGGAGGCGGGGGCAATGCCAGAGAATACAAAATGAAAAAAATCAAGAAGAAAGGAAGAAAAGAGGATGATAGTGATGACGAGTCCCAGTCATCTCAGCGTGTGTAGCTATATTTTACTTTTCTGTATGCATGATTTCTTTAACATATTAAGATGCATCAAGAGATGCTGTACTTGGTTCCTAGATGATGCCTGAGGAGAATTAACTGACCCTGATAGTTAGCAATAGGTTGAATTTTTATTTATACAGGTCTCACTTTAACTTGGTCTTGAACATCCAGCAGAAAAGTGTAACCAAAAATGTATAGAAGCAACGCCACTGTAAAAGGTTAGCAGTAAAAGGTTCAAGTCATCAACAACCTCTGACAATTGCCAGCTAGACTGATAACTGACCACTGTTATGGACTTTGGACTGTATTCTTCAAGCACAGCTTTTCCAGCTTCAATGGAACACCCATCACTTCTGCAACTAAACAGAAAAGGGACATACGCTGGGAGCCACTGGAGCTGGTTATTTGTCAAGCAGTCAAGCTACCTCAGTACTGAAAAAGGCATCCTCCCAATTACAGTGGTTAGTCGCTAGGCAACATTACCCCTCCCATGATACTAACTTTGCAAGTGTATAAAATAAACACCCCTACTGTTGAAAAAAAAAAAAAAAAAAAACATATTAAGATGCATATAATTGGGTGTATATCTAAAGTTTACACAGGAAATACTCGCTTTGTACACTTCCAGTGGGCACAAATTTCAGTCAGCACAGGTTAAATAATACCAGCCCACCAACAACATGGTTCAAGCAGTTAGCAAGTGCCCCTGGTATATTAACTGAACAGTTGCATAACGTGCTGTGCAGACTTTATTGTTAGATCTTCAGGCCACAAACCACTATATAAATAATGGATGCATATTGTGATCATTGATAATCAAGTCACTTATTTTGAGGTTTGTCACTAATTAAGCACTGCACATCTGTCAGTTTTTATGCTCAAACAGCAAAGTTGATAACTGTATTCCTTGGTCTCCCATTGATGGAGTCATGTGATACTTTATAAAAAATTTGTAATTGAAGAGGAAATTAGCCAACAAAGGTGAAAGTGTAGTAAACAAATGAAAAGTGATAACACTGGAAGTCAGATTGGAATCAAGCCTGGTAGAGTAATAGGAGGAATGGCTGACTGCAAATGTTGACATTACCATTGTTCAAGACGTTTGAGCTGCACACACAGAGGAACTTAGCATAAATGGGAAAAAGGTTGTGACCAAGGGGATACAAATTTCTTGGATGATGAGACACAGGCAAGAAGTTCACATTAAAAGAACTCTTAGAAATACTTGAAGACATTAAAAGTGCACTGGATAAAATGTCAGAAACTGATCCGGAGAATTTTATGCATGTTTAATTTTTATAATAACACCTACGTTGCTTATGTCTAAGGGGGAGAATTCATTAAGTGCATATTTATTTTCTAGACTTGTTATGTCTGTGAGAGATGTAGTGTTTTGTTATTCTAAATAAATTTTTTTGTCATTTTCTTTTTTAAAAAAACTAATGAAACTAGATACTGCCCTCTTCCTCATTCCCAGTAAAAAGAAAATTTAAAAAATCTTCAAATGCAATTTGAGATTTCTCCCCTTTGACAGAATTCATTACATATGAGCTCTAGCTGGGAGACATACGAGCAGACATCAGACGTGGCTGTAGCTGTTCACGTGACTACCTGTAATAGCACAGTTGCTCACAAGTGTTTAAATGTTTTAAGAAATAGCTTCTGTTCTTGATGTTCCTGAAATAGTGTTAAAGCAGAAGTGTCTTTGTAAAAGCTACTTGCTCTATCTACCCTTCTTTTAAATAGTGTTGAGACTGACTTACATATTTTTTAACTTTCTACTAATAAATTTCCTTATTCCCCCAAGGTTGCAGGGTGGGCTAAAGAGGCATTTTGAAAATACTCCTCTAATATCTATCATTTTAAATAGATGAGGCCTGTGATACTCCTTTTGTGCATAGATTATTGAGAGGAGCTATAAAGGTAGTAAAACCATTCTACCTTAAAAGATGTAATTCAATGCCTTTGGAAAAGGGTTGTATTGTAATCTTGGAAATGGAGAATGAAATTAGATTTTCAGCTTAAAATACAGGATCCACTTCAGTATGAAAGATTCCCGAAAGGAGATATAATTTAAAAACTTCTAAAAAGGCAGGTAGGAAGCAAACGGGAGATTATAGACTATTTACTTTGAGCATCAGGGTGGACAGCAGATGTCACAAAAGAATAGTATTTATCTGTGATTTCAATTGCTTAAATCTTCATATTGAAAATTGAATTTTTTTTTTTTTTTTTGAGATGGGGTCTCACTAGGTAGTCCAGGCTGGCCTCAAACTTGTAGTGATTCCCCCATCTCAGCCTTACAAGGCTGGAATTATAGGCATGTGCCACTATGCCCTACTGAAAATTCATCTTTGAGACATGTTATTTTCATTGATTGCTAAGGTTTTACTGCAGTATAGATAACCTAACTTAGCTGGAAATAATTACTTTGAGACCTTTATAATTTCTAGTGGAAATGTTGTTAGTTTTCTTTGCAGCCTGTACTTTTTCAGGTAAGTGGATAGGCATGACATTTCCACAATAATAATTATTTCCATTATTTTAGCTGCACCTCAATTTTCCTTGGTATAGAATCATTTTTGTGGAGCAAAACTACAGTTTGGTGTAAAATTATAAAGTGGTTTTTTTTTCCCATCTCTGTTCTTCCAAAAAAGGTCACACTAACACAATTCTAGTGGAGTTGTGGTTGCAATAATAATAAGAATCTTCTGAAGATGCTACATAAAGTATAAGGATGATTTAATTTCTAATACACATTTTTATAAAGAAGGATATTCTGTTCAGTATCCATTTTTTTAACAAAGAGAAATTCTTTTTTTCCTGAAAGATTATTTTCTGTCTATTTGATTGTTTTGATTTATACCTTTTGCATTATCCAGGTTAGATGGAGAAAATCATTTTGTGTACTTCCTGATTGACATTTAGAAAATAATAATTTTATTTATTTATTTATTTATTTTTGGATACTAGGAGTCAAACTCAGGACCTTGTACTTGTCAGATAGGCACTATGCCGCTGAGCTGTCTGCCTGGCAATAATAATTTTTAAATGAAGTTTTAAAACAATCATTTAGAGTATACTGTATATCCTAATTTTTAAATTATTTTCTTACTTATTGGTATTTGACATAAACAATGTTATTGCCATAAGTGTTAGTTTCAGAGACTCTGCGGTAGGCAGTGAGTGGATTACCGTCCTGTTAACATCTGTCACTGAAACCGTTAACTCGCTTTCTGGTTGCTTATGTGTGCTTTGATTGTTTCTCCTCCCTGCCCTGCATCGCTTCTGCTTGTTATAGGAAAGAAGAAGCCAGAGGTAACTTTCATGTTCCAGGATGAGATTGAAGATTTTTTAAGCAAACACATACAAGATGCCCCTGAAGAATTTATTTCCGAACTTGCTGAGTACTTAATAAAGCAAGTATAAAACATCTTTTTTCTCTTTTATGATAGAAGCGTAAATATAATTTGGGGTAGGATCTTAGAAAACAAGCATAAATTTTAGGTGTTTGCTTTTCGAAGCTAGAAATTCAGTCTAACAACCCAATTCCAGACTTTACTTGCTGACAGAAGCAGCTTGGTTTAACAGGCATTTAGTATTTTGGGAAAAGCAATATAGGAAATAAAAGCTGAGAACCTCTGCATGCATCCATTTAACTGATCCTACAGTCTTAGGTCTTACTGGGGGAAAAAAATCACCAGTACTAATCTCAGGCTGGTCTCTTCCATAGCATAAAAAATAATATCCAAAAGGAAGAAAAGTTCATTTTCAATTTTTATTTGACTGAAAGTAGAAAGAAAATGAGGAACAAATTGACCTCAAAAAGAATAAATTTAGACACTCCTACTTTATGAAAGAGCCAGGCTAACTTTATGTGCCTGGCTGTTTCATATATAATTTGACCATTATTAATGAAACCTGGTCTTCCTTCAAGTTGGTCCCAGTATTTAAGTTTCCATAAATAAAGTCTGGCAACACAGGGCACCTAACTTCTTAGTTTACAAGCTAAGCTTTTGTAATGAGAATTTTTAAAATTTAAATAAGATTTTGTCTGAAAGTCCATTACAGAACCTAGTGTAAAGAAGATGAAATAGTTACTGGTCATCTACCATTGCTTTTTTAAATGCTCTATTTTAAAAATTGAGTGTAAAAAGGTCTAGTCAGTGCACGTCTTACAATACTTTGGAAACTGAGAATTTGTTTAAGTTGTAATTCTCGAGAAAGGGATAGATTTATAGTCCACTGTTCTCCAAATTAACTTTAAAGAAGCTGTTTTTGGTTTGTTGAGTGTTGGTTATTGTTGTTCTTATCATATTTAACTTTGAGTACTCTAAAATTAAAAAAAATATTTAAGTTATTTAAGTTATAATTAAGTTATTACATTTAAGTTATAATTCCTGGTATAATTAAGTTATTACATTTAAGTTATTTAAGTTATAATTAAGTTATTACATTTAAGTTATAATTCCTGGGGCTGGGAAATAAATTCTCAGTGAACTCCTCCATATTAGTTTTATGTATTTGAAAAAGTAAGAGATCTTTTCTTAAGCCTTATTTCGATAAATGTAAATTTTCTTATTTGCATAAATTCAGTACATTATAATAAACTATTTATCTTGTGCACAGACCTCTTAATAAAACCTATCTTGAGGTGGTACGTTCAGTGTTCATGTCTTCAACTTCCGCTTCTGGAGCTGGTAGAAAACGCACAATCAAGGACTTACAAGAAGAGGTTTCAAACCTATACAATAACATTAGATTATTTGAAAAGGGGATGAAGTTTTTTGCAGGTATACTTAATACTGCTCTTCACTAATCTTATAATTCTGCCAGGAGGTTAGTTTTAATAAAGTGTCTTTCTTTTTCAGATGACACGCAGGCTGCTCTCAGCAGGCACTTGCTGAAGACGGTGTGCACGGATATAACTAACCTCATCTTCAACTTCTTGGCTTCAGATTTAATGATGGCAGTAGATGGTCCTGCAGCCATTACAAGCGAAGTATGTTCGTAATTTGCTTGCCGCTCTTGATGTATTTTGAGTCTGTGCACATTTTATTTTTTCTCATTTGAAAAAGCTTAAAAGGAAAATAAAATACAGAAAGAATATTTTAGAAAATAATCTAAAAGGTTTTTTACTCTAGATAGATAGATTGATAGATGTTTGTATGTTAGAGTGAAAATGCAATCACTCTACCAAAAGTATTATTGCTTAATTACCTTGGAATAAAAACATTTGTTTAAAATTATATTCTTTCACATCTTCTTTTCCTGGGGCTGGGGATTTAGCTCAGCGGCAAAAGCGCCTGCCTGGCAAGCGCAAGGTCGTGAGTTCGGTTCCCGGTACCGGAGAAAAACCAAAAAAAAAAAAAAAATCTTCTTTTCCTGTTCATGTGTTAATCCCTTAATATCCAGACCAGTTTCCATATCTTTGTAGTCATTGTCATTTAAAGATACCATCTCATTTAAATACTTCGATAATTCTAGGGGTTTTTTTTAATCTGAAACTGGAATTTGGAAAAAATAAAAAGCTCACCTCTTTCTTTGAACATGAAGCTGTGGCTCCCATCTGCACAGGAAGGAAAGTTGTAGCCCAGTGATGGCAATTGAGCGCTTTCAGTGCTAACACACAGCCCTGCAGCATGCGTGCCATAGGTTCACCGCCACAGTCATAGCCTGCACATTAGATAACAATGACAATGTTTCTCCTCCTCCTTTTCCTCCTCCTCTTCTACTTCTCTTTCTTCTTGATCCACTTAAGGTTGGAGATGTAGGGATAGAGCAGAAGTGAATTTGTCTTCATTTGACAAACTGCATATAACTGACTTTAAAGTAGGTCAAACTAAGTCTGATCCTTATGCCCTCTGCTGATGTGGCTCTTGCCAATAGATGGCATGAGTTGTCTTGAGGCACTGTGTATATGACCCTTTTCATAGTAAGCACTAGCCTCCAGCCTTCTAGCTGAAGTACAGTTGCTTCTTCCCCTACCCCTGCAAGGTGCTGGCTACTTCCCTTCTTTAGCTTGTGCAGCATAGCTCCAGTTGTCCCCATGAACAATCCCATGTTTCCTGCCCCTGTACGAACTTCTGATGTAAGAAATAATAGCGCTTGTTCCTTGCCCTTAAAGGACCACAGAAGGACTGGTGCAAAGTGGAACAAGGAGCTACTAAGTTTCCCATCTTCCCAAAATATGCCCTCAGGCACTGCTAAGCCATTTCAGCAGGCCTCTTACAGAAATGTTCCTCTAAAAGGGGCTATCTCCCCCTGGCCAAGAGTGCCACCAAACTGCACAGAATATGTACAAGTGGAGGAAGAAGCAGAGAGGTTTTTCCTGTCATACAGCGTAACAAGCATCTAGCCATGGACAAGGTCTCAGCCTCCATGCTGTAGGCATCCTGATCTTTCTGGTGAGGCCCTCAGGAAGGAAAAGCACTTTCTCCCCACCCCAAATATGCTGCTTCCCACAAGACTTCTTAAATTGCTAGAGCAAGTGGAAGAAATAGCATTGTATCTGGCCTTTCTGGCTAAATAACTATTGGCTGTCTCTGATTGTAGAACATTTTTAGCTACTTTCATGTCTCAGATCTAAAATTCAAGAACAGATAAACTCCTGTCAAAATTCTATGACAGTAATAGATGCACTTTGTTTGTTTGTTTTGCTTGATCTTATGTACCCCACATGTCCAAAGTACAATGCTGAAAAAAAATTTTTTCCTTACAGGTAAGAAAAAAAATTTTAAGTAAGCTGTCAGAAGAAACCAAAGTAGTGCTCACAAAACTCCACAACTCTCTGAACGAAAAAGTAAGTAAAGTTAGAGTCTAGTTAGTTGCCATAGCTAGAACTCTGCTATAAAGTTCTTTAAGAGAAAACTAAATAAATAAATGAATAAAGTTCTTTAAGTACTATAAAAAACATAAACCAAACTAAAACTCATATTCTGCACTTACATACCTCTTGAAAAAAATAGGAGACCAAAGCTGGGAACATTTTACTGTTTGTTTCCCTGAAAGACAATTGCTAATTTAATGCCAGAGCCCCCCCCTTACAAATTGTATTCAGAATGTGAAATAACATTTTTGTAGGCACCTATATATAGACATAAGCTATGGTATTAAATATCGTTTCAGAGCATAGACGACTTTTTTTCTTGTCTGGACTCTGCCGCAGAAGCTTGTGATATTATGGTGAAAAGGGGAGACAAAAAGAAGGAAAGGTAACAGTGAATTCGCCTTTGTTCATACCTTCAGGTGTGAGTCATTGCATATTTGCAATTTGAACATGGCCTCCTGGACTTTGCATGATGAACTGTATCTGAATGGATATAAATATTCAAGCATATTCAGATTCTTAGTACAGTTAATTGTTCATCTCTGACCCTCATTGACATGGCAGAGTTACTTAATCTCATAACTGATGAAGTCTGGGACTTTTTATTACCTTTGAAACCTTTCTTTCAGGAAATCTTACTTAAATATGGGCAGTTCTGTTTGATCCCCAGTAACTTAAAACAAAAAGTTTATTTTTAGTATCCCTGTCCTGTATATTTTCTATAGTTTTCTAATATTATTTTATCTGTATCAGTGTGTGTATTTGTGTTTGTATATGTGTGTGTACAGATAGATGGGAAGTGTATGTGTGTGTGTCTATATATATATATATATATATATGTATATATATATATATATGTATATCTCTCCCACATTTAAAGGAACCCTTAAAATGTTATGAAATTAGAACATTAAACTAGAGAAGCTAAAAAATGAATAGGGAATTGAACCATGCAGATTGATGAGAATTTATCATCTCTTTATGTGATTTTATTGATTTTTAGGCAGATAATGTTCCAGCATCGACAAGCACTGTTTGAACAGCTAAAGGTCACAGAAGACCCCGCTCTTATTCTGCACCTTACATCAGTCCTCTTGTTTCAGTTCTCAACCCACAGCATGCTCCATGCACCTGGAAGATGTGTCCCACAGATCATCGCTTTTCTTAATAATAAAATTCCAGAGGTATTCCATTTTCACTCCATTTGAAATGTTTCAAGTTTTGAAATTCTGACTATTTTGAGTGAATAGATATGAGTCATTGTCAGTATACAGGAACAAAAGCATGCTAATATCATCTGCCTGCTTCCAAGAATGTGAACAGTTAATTAGGGGACTGATTTTAAATTTTAGCCTAGCTCAGGAGCTTTTCAGGTTCTTATAATAACTGTAGTAAAGAATATTCCGAATTTGGAAATTATTCTTTCAGAGAAGACAGAAGAATGTCAGATCCTCTTCTTCAGCCTCTAACTTACTTTTCAAGGACCAATTCAAATATTTTGTCCTATACACATTCTTCTGAGAAACTCAACCCTTCAGCTAAGAGAAATTTGGCTTCTTTGATCCTCTTTATCACCTTGATTTTATCTTTGATACTGCAGCCTAGCTAAGTCAATGTATAGTAAAGTGATCTGCATTCATGTTTTATTTTCCCTGAAGTTTAAATTCCAAAAGAGCAGGGGACCTTATTAGATTCAGCTTTGTAAATTGAAGACACTCATTGTGTATTGCTCCCTAAAATTCTACTTTATCTGTTCCACAGAAAATTTAATTGTGTTTATTACTTTTCCTTCTCCTTTTCACAGAATCAGCATACTCTTTTGGTAAAATATCAAAGTTTGGTTGTAAAGCAGTTAGTAAACCAAAAGAAGACTGGGCATGCAGAGGATCCCTTGAATGAGGAATTAGACAAAGAACAGCATGATGTTACCAATACTACTCGTAAAGAGCTCCAAGAACTTTCTTCTTCCATTAAGGACCTTGTTTTCAAATCCAGGAAATCATCTGTGACAGAAGAGTAATAACAGTTAGTTATATAGTGAACATTTTTCCCAAAGTTAAAGGCGAGTGGTTGCAAAACATTGTCACTCACAACTCCGTACTTCCCACATCCACTTCTTCCGCCACACAAAATTCAGTTAAAATAGTAATGTTATATTTAATGTAAATCTTATAAAGGTGTGAATTTTGTAAATTGACTTTTCCGTGGAAGATTTTATTTTCACATACTTTTATGTGGAGTTTTTCACATAAAAATTATTTTCACTTAATTCTAAATAATTGTATGTTTCTGGTTCACTTTCAAGATAATAAATTTTTGATATTTTTCATTTCTTAAGAAAGGATTCATTTGCTGTTTGATTTTTAAGTGTTACTACTATACTTGTACACATTTAGGCAGAGACCTAAAATGTCATGGCTTTGAACAAAAGGGAAATGCCTTTAGTGTGTGAGAAATAAAATCACTTATTTTTAAATTAATAAAAAATGTTTCAAAATCAAAATACAGAAATTTTTTTAAAAGCCTTGGTCTTATTAAGTACTTGTATGTAAATAGTTAAGCTATTTTTTCCAGTGATGAGAGGATTTAAATCATTAAAAATTTTTTTCAAAAATAGAAACCCTGTTTATGTATTTTAAAAAAAATACTCTTCTCTAAAGGTTACTAGTTAAAAGTAACTAAAATAGTTCCTTGGAGTAATAATTTCAACCAAAGGAATTTTAAACAACAATTTATTATTTATCAAAAGGAATTTATTTTTAATATAATGGTAAATTAAATTTTAAATATTTAAATGCTATTTTATATAATTCCTTGTATGGCATTTAAAACTATGTTTTTTAAAATGTCTAAATACAGCGATCAGGTTACTTCTCCATATTAGACAAAAGTGTACGTAACTCATATAATTGCAGACTAAAAATTATTATTCAAATTGATAGAACTATAATTTAAGTGGAAACATTTTTCCTATGGATAATTTTCTATTATACTGTATATTATGAGCAAAGTATAAAAATGACCAATTACAAACTCCAATTTAGATTTGTTTATTCAGCTTCCAAAGTATTGAACAACCAACCAGTTATTCAGCCGTCACTGAGGAATCTTATCATTTCTGTTTCAACATGTACTAAAATAATCTGTGTTAAAACTAAATTATAGAAAACCAAAGTGACAGTGAAACCAATAAAATAATTTCTGACTTAATTTATGAAAATAAGCACTGATGCAAATAAAAATTCTTAATCTCTTTGTAGAAAATGTTTTTCATTTATAAAAATGGTTCTTATTTTTCCACACTAAAGAACAGTTTTTATTATTTTTGTAAGTACAATTACATAACTGATTTTGTATGTGAAGTTCAAGTTCCATTAATAAAATAAAAATTGTTAAGCATTTATGTACTCTGATCTTCAGGACAGAGTTAAGAATATTATTTAAAATAAAGTTACCCGTTCTACTAAATGTTAATGGCACTTCCAAACTTCCATTATTTTAATTAGTACTGAACTTCATTTGTGGGTGCATTCTGTGTAATGTATTTATATATTTTCAATTTTCATTCTGAGTTTTATTAAAAGGATTTGATTTTCTTTTCTTATACATGAATGATTTCATAGTTCTCGCTTTCTTTCACTACTTAGAAATTTCCCATTCATGAGCCATTTCATTATAGGAAATTGTTTCTCAGCCAGATTTCAGCAGATGCGTAGCTATATTCTTCTATCTGCTAATTTCGTTACTGCAGTTACAATAGAGGTATTGGAAAACATGCCCACCTCTTCATGCTCAGGTGTGTTGCAGCTACAGAGCCATCTGTTTTTGAAGAAAACCCACTTCTGGCCATCTACATGATCCAGTAAGTGGTAGCGGATATTATCAGAAATCATAGTGCATTTTGATAAAAGACCCTAAATGATTAGAATCTTGTATACCATATTAGAATCTTCTATGCTATATTAGAACAATAAAATGTTCTAATAAATAAGCAACAATAAAATGTTGCTTAATTTAAATACAGAACCATCTTGAACTTTCTCAAGAAGTACTTTAGTAAGATCAAAAAGGACCAAGGAGGAAGTCAGAGTGCTACAGTGGGGGCTGGGGATTTAGCTCAGCGGCAAAGTGCCTGCCCAGCAACTGCAAGGTCGTGAGTTCGGTTCCCGGTACCGGAGAAAAACCAAAAAAAAAAAAACAGTGCTGCAGTGATGTGCAGGGGGTACTGTAGTGCATAGGCTGACAAGAAATAGTTCATTACTGCTTCAGAAATGCCTCTCAACCTATGTGCAGATATGATTGTTTTCTACCAGTACAATTTCTACATAATTGATGTTAATTGGGTAAAGGTGGAAGGATGGAAAGTTCTTTCTTTTGCTGTAACAAATGAAGCTTTATCCCACTTTATATGGGAGAGGAGATAAAAACACATAACACTCAGGTATACATTTAACTCAAAAATGTGGAAATTTTTTTTACAGTGCTGGGGAGCCAACCCAGGGCTTCACACATGCTGAGCAAGCACTGTACTACTGAGCTTCATCCTCACCCCTGGACACTAATAAAGTAGCTGTTCAAATGACTTACAGAGGCACACAAGTTGGATCTTGAAGCCTGCACTAACCAAATGAAGAACAACTAGAAGAGACTTACTCTATGCTAAAAACAACACTGACCTGCAGGCTTTCAGAAAAAAAAGTTTTATCCACTTACACCACAAAAAACAAGTACATTAAAAATGTATTAAATTCCGATATATTCCTAGAGTTGTCCACATTTGCCAGTAATTGCCTGTCTGTGTCTTTTAAGCATAATCAGACAACCTTGCTGTCTGTTTTGAAGAGCAGGAAGCGTGGGGTTATGTTGATGGAATGGATGAAAGAGAGGATTTAGTGGATTTAAAGCCTTGGCTCAGCAATTTCCTGGATCTTGTATTACAGCTGAATACTAGGAATACAAACGTAAACTTAAAAAACTTTCCTGATTTTCAAGCAGGTGGCTACAATCACCAATGAAAGTTTAAGTTAGTATATTGACAAAAGTGAACAGAAAGTGTTCTGGGAGAAATAGAATTCAGACTGTCAGAGCCGAAAGGCTGGATGTGACCTAAATCCTGAAAGAAAAAGTAGGATTAGCTTTAAACAAATAGGAGAAAGGAAGGAGTGTCTGTCTGGGCAGAGAAAAGGGGATGCAGAAGTATTATGACATGAATTGCCATGAAATAGGGACATTGGGGAAGCCACAACTCAGGAGAAATAAGTAACCTGCAGAAGTAATAAGATGAAGTGGAGAGACCAGCAGGATATCCTGAAATGCCTTATGCAATAATATACAAAGTTTAACTCTTACCCTGAAAATGTACAGAACCCTTAAAAGATTAAATTAACCAGAGAAATAAGGTGATTTGATTTCCCTGTAACAAAGACCACTTCCATTCTGGTAAGCAGTTTGTTCATTTTCCAAGATCCTGTAAAATGTACCTAAAATTAGTGAAAATCAATGTCTTTTCTGCAATGTAGATTTTAAAATGTACTCCTGTCCTAGAGAAACAGACAACATGTCTTACACAGAATCTTTTTGACTTTGAAATAGTTTTGTGTATTCAGAGGCTAGTCCACCAAAGAAACACCAAAAACTTTAAGTCCCCTCCCCCCGTTTTTTTTCTTTTCATTGTAAAATTAAAGTGGTTTGTCAAATTGTTTGATAAGGGCTAGTAAGAGCTACGGAGCCTGTAGCCTTTCTCGACTCTATTATATAGACCTCAAAATCGGGTAAGTACTTGAAGGCATCAAATGAGCTTTGCATACAAAATGCAATTGCTTAAATAGTACCTAATAATGTAAATAAAGTGAACATTCTAGATTTTTCTTCCCTTTTTCCTGCCTAAGTCTGTGATTTACATTTCACATAAACAATCAGTGTGGTTTTGGTATTAAAGAAAACAATTGGGGGGGAAGCAGTATTCTATTATGTATTTAATTGTGTTGCAACCATTATTCAAAGCCACTTTAAAAATAATGTTTTATTGATTTGGAAAGTCACAGTATATGAAATCATAAAAGGGATACAGAGGTACCGTGGGGTTCAAGACATGCTCCACCAAAATGCTGCATCTTATCATTTGAGAGAACTGCAGAAGCAGGAAGATCCCTCACACTGTCCCTTCATCCCGGTCCCTGGAGCAGATCACAAACCGAGGAAGGTCACTGTCTTAGCTCCCACCCTTCTTCGCTGAAGCAGGTCATAAGACCTTCATTTGAGAGATCCCACTCTACATTAAAAAAATAGCATCCTTATCTCTGAGGACAGGGATGTAAAGAAGAATCTGGACAAAGAAGATTTCCTTGCTGTATTTCCCCTAGGTTTATGCTCCTTTGTTCACAGCTATCTACTCATTTTCATCAACCTAAGCATGAAATACACAAGCTTACTTAACAGCTTCTCTGAGTCTTCATCTCTGAAGGCTCCCATGTCATACAAAACGGATATAAAGGCCAATGCCTTTTTCTTGCGAATGGGCCTTTTGTTGTAAGGGTCTTGGGCATGACCTAGCATGTAAATGAAGTTTCTCGTATCCTATAACTGATCAAAATGCTCTTGGGTTTCTAATTACATGTTATACAACTGAAACTATGTGTACATATTCATAGGTGGTATTTACACATATATAAACATTTACACAAACCTTTCCTTACGGTTAATGTTTGTGTACGAAATTCTAGTGAGGTGTGCCAAGATTTGGGCTATAGCTATCTCTTTGAGTCCAAGTCATTTTAAATTTTCTTTATATATTTTATGTTCTTGTTCCAAATTTTCTGCAAGAAGCACTTTTATAATTGAATAAACTGTTATTTTAACAATATTGCTATGTAATATAGAGAAAAGACAGAGGGGATCCAGACTGAGGATCCCCTCTATGATTGACATAGCCTATGTAAGAAAAATGAAGACTGGAATTAGAGGGATGCTGACAAATTTGAGAAAGATTATTTAACAATGTAGAATAGGCAGAAGTTGATGATATGGGAGAATAAATGAGAGAGAAGAGTCTAAGGTACTAGGTAGGTGATTGTGCCCCAACATAGGAAAAACATTAAGGTAACGGGATAGGAGGGGAGAACATGAAAAGGTTTATTTGGGATTGATGACTTTGAAATGCCTGAGGCCTTCTAGACAAAGATTCCAGTAGATAACAGGATAAAAGTGTGAAACCTTGGGAAATGATACCCGAGGAGAGTACAGATGTTGGAGTCATAGCATATAGTTGCTTCTACATTGAACGCGTTAATAAAACAGCATATGGAACAGAGGATGAAACTAGGGAGGGGGGCTGGGGA